CACTTATGTGCACCCCTGTATATATAAATTATACACAGTTTGAGCAGCAAGATGCGTTCAGTTTTAACTCTTTCTTCAATTTTGTATCTTTGGGTAAGCATAAGAGGTGCTTCATTACTAAGGCTATTTATTGTTACTAATGCTACAGGCAGGTGAGTTTATTTTCAGGGTTGGAGCTAAACTCTGCAGGACAACGGCACTCTAGGACCGACGTCGCCTATCCCTGATTTAAAACATGAAAATATAGTTGAAATGTGAAATTAAAACCACTGGGTGGCAGTAAACTGATTCTTTCAAATGGATGATTCATTCAGGAAGGAAGCATTTGATTGTGTTAATGAGTGAGTCACTGAAGCATTCATTCAACCGATTCGTTCAAAAAGCTGACCTGTGACCTGTGTTTTTGTGATATACTCGATAATGTCAGATCGCATATCATTAAAACAATTATTATATTATCGCAGACGATATACTGTATGTCGCACACCCCAGCCTCGAACTGAGTGGAAAATGAAATCATCCGCGTTGTGCGAGCACTTGTTTGCCAACGAGCAAAGGTGTTTTTTAGGAGTCTTACTTACAAGCACCAGACCACTGATTTGTCAAACCTGCTTTCTTGCTGTCTGTGTTCTTACGACTTTATTTTGTAGTAATGCTTCGGGGAAATGTATCGGAGTAAAAGTATACATTTTAATAAGGAAATGTGAGTAAAAGTGAAAGTTGACAGAAATATAAAAACTCAAGTAAAGTACAGATTCTCCCCAAAAATACTTAAGTACTATTAGTACTATAAGTATTATTACTGAAGTATTGTTACATTACACCACTGGTTCTCCAGCTCTGGGTTTTATTCAAAACTGCACAAGCAGATTAACGAGTAATCAGTCGTTTACATATGCATCGTTTGGAGGTTGCTTATTTCACCGTTCCACTGAGCATGGTAATCAATCAGGCCAAACACAGGGTTCAGTATACATTCATTTGAAATAAATAATCCCTTTTATGGGAGAGTATCCCACAAGGGTCAGTTCCTGGTCCGTTTTCATTTTCCTTCTGTCGCCTTTAAGACCTCTGCATGTAGTTCAGCTGTTTCGTTCTCATTAAAATATACTTCTCCTTCTGCTCTGCTGCATAAGTAGATTAATCATTGATGATGGGAATATGCTCATGAAATCACTGTCAAATTATCACCGTCATCTTTCCAGTGGAGTTAAGAACAAAGACATTGTGAGTCTCCAGAAGTGAAAGAACACCTCTGAACCTCGTAATCAAATACAGCTTTCCTGAATGCCAATTACCAACAGACCATGCAAATCAGTCTGTAGAAGAGAGTGACTTTCTATTTGCTGGCCTGTGTTAACCTCTGTGAATACAATCTGTCCCCAGGGAGAGATGGGAAGTTAATGAAGTGAATGGCTGGATAAGCAGTGAAGCTTGGTATCTCTCTCTCTCTCTCTCTCTCTCTCTCTCTCACAAACAGACAAACACACACACTTTGATGTCATGGTATAACTATGGTAACTCATAGTGTGGACATTGCAAAGGTTACTAATTTTGCCTTGATTTCCTGAATGTACAAAGTAACATTAGTATTTTATATAATGTTATATATTGTTATAATGATTATATAGTTCCAGTCCTTGATTATGATTTGTTAAGCTGTGTATGAACACTTTTGGTGTGTGTGTGTGTGTGTGTGTGTTTCTCTCTCTCACTCCCGCTGGTCTTTCTTTCCAAAGGTAATTAAATGTGAGTCTGCTAGCCGAGGTGCCAGCGGTGGACACTGTTCTCTGTAGGCACACGTCACCAGAGGAAGATTTTAGTGTCATAATCATAACAAAAAAAGAATAAAAAAAAAAGATTGCTTTCACATTATAAAGGCTTTATTAAAAGCCTATAAATGAAATAAAACCATACACCATTTTGATCAATACTTTATTTTTATCTACGATTTAAAGGTTACTTCAGCAAATTACATAATGTTTTTACAAATACTGTAAGAAAATCAAAACACAATAACAGGGACTGGTTTCGTTTAATAAATATGATTGCACCAAACAGAAACAATTCCACATAAGCACAGAGTTGAGGTCAAAGAAAGATAAAAAAATAAACAAAGCATTACACACCTAAAAGTTTTTATGTATTTATATATTTATAAAGTCTTTACAGTAATAAAACTCTTCTACAAAAATAATCTTCCTTACTCTTAAATTCCAAAGGTAATTAAATGTGGTGAGTCTGCTAGCCGAGGTGCCAGCGGTGGACACTGTTCGCTGTAGGCACACGTCACCAGAGGAAGATTGAGTCTAATGTCCTTGGAGTAACTACAGTACAAACCCACAGGGAGCGGATTGAGCTGGTTATTATCCTTGAAGAGACAGGCCTCTGATGAACTTTCATTTGTACACAAGAGGTACACAGGTCGCCTAATACTTTATCATGAGGGCATGATTTTTTTTAAATGGAGAAAATCAAAATGTTTCATTAGGCTTGAATTAGCTGTGCCCTTGAATGCAATTGCATAACAGGCGTACACAAACACATTCATACTTACAGTTCCCTGGGCGCCGTTGAAAGTTACCTTGAGATGTCAGCAGAGCCGGGGCCCCTGGAAGCATTGATTGCTCCTTAATCTGCAGTCTAATGTGCCTTCCAGTTACCTCCCTCACACTGTCTCTCTAGCTGTGCTGTCGCGAAACTATTCATCGCTAATGGCTGCTCATTTCTAACATTTGTTTTTCTCTGGAAGTGGACAGAAGTCATTTTATGACTAGCATCTGTTTCACCAGAACAGTACCATTTTCATATACACTTATCAGACTTTTATATTGTTACAAAAAAAAAAATATTACAAATAAATGCTGTTCTTCTGAAATTTCTATTCATGCTGTATCAAAATTTACACAAAAATATTAAGCAGCACAACTGTTTTCAAAAATTATAATGAATTATAATTATAAATTATGGATGCTGAAAATTTAGCTTTGCATCACAGGAATAAAATAAAACTCTTCTACAAAAATAATCTTCCTTACTCTTAAAAGAGAAGTGGCAGCGCTGGATTTTGATTTCCTGGCTGCCACAGTTTGTCCATTCAAAGCTCATAAAGTGTCTTGTTTTGTAGCCAGTGGTTTAACAAAAGCTCTGTCTTCAATCTAAACGTACAACTCAATTTAATAATTAAAATGTATTTATCTTCAGCCACCTGGTTTGAAGTAATGTCAATTCAGGTCTGAATGTTCAGATATTGATTCTGTCATGATTTTTTTTTTTCAACCTTTCAGCAGAAACAATTAAATGATATTGCTATTGTTCCTTTTATAGCTCCTCCCTTACCCACAATGCCCTGCACTCATTTGTTTGACAGTTTCAACTCATAACTTGAGTGTGTGATATTATGAAAATATAATATGTACTGTGATTGCGTCAAGTCCATAGTGAATTGTCTCAGTATGAACATCCTCTACTGCAGTGACATATTTATACGCAGTGTACAAAATGTAATGGACAATGACAATTGAAATAAAATTAGCCATTAAAATTTTCCCTTTTAGACATGCTGTTTTCAATATCCTGACAATTCTGTAATAAAAATGGCCTCCAGTTACATTCATTGGTGTATGAGAATGGAAATAACACTAGCTGTAATTTAACCTTGATATTCAAATGAGAACATATTGAAAGAAGAACAAAATTGAGAAGCAAATAGTCCATAGATATAACTACAAGAAAAAGAGCATCAATATTGAGTTACATAAAGATGACGAGGAGCATGATCTCATCCATGTGTGTAACAGCACCATTATAATAAACAGGAGGACATGCAAAAAATGGTCCCTATTGTACTATTGTATTGTTATTGTACTAAAGATATAATAGTGTCTAATTGGTAAATTTTCTTGTTGATGCAAAACTGGTGTTTTGGCACACATTTGTAAATTAAAAGTGTCATTTGGCTATGAAAATTAATCATATTACAATATGAACAAGCTGTGTGAAATCTGCAAAAACTATGAAAAATAAATAAACGAATAATAATAATAAAATAAAATTGTAAATTAAATTACATTTCGAAATAAAATATGTTGAAATGCATATATACATGAAATGCAGGTTCATATAAACATGGTTTGTGCCAACAGTGTGTTTTGTGCTGTAAATTGTTGGCAATTTTTGAGTAGCTGAAACCATCAAATTGTTACTTTATATATATATATATATATATATATGTATATATATATA